ATGAGCTTGGCATTTCTCCAGCCCAGGAAAGCAGCGCCCGTACCTGTTCCCGGGCCACTTGGCGCGGAGGTCCAGCCAGGGGCGAGCAGGTAGGGACCTCGCTGCATCGCCCGGCCTGGAGGTACTGAAGTGCACAGGCGAAACCCAGAATAGGCTCCTTCCCTGTGCCGCGGCATTATGCCTGCCGTCTTGAGTCTGGTGATGCATGTTATGTTTTCGGTGCTGATTTTACAAGGGAAAGACAGTATCTCATAAAATGAAGATGAGGCTCTTACTCATGTGGCTCATTTCCCTAGGAGGAATTGTAACTCGAGCTGGGCAAAAAAAAAAAAAAAGTGATCAAAGCTCTTTCTGCCAAACTGAGCAATACAAGACACAAATTTAATTTGAATGCATTGAATCAATTTAGCCAAAAAAATGCCAACGGATAAAAATGCCTAGAGGCCTTGTTTTTGCGTTTTAAAAGCTGCACACTTTAATTTTAGCTTCAAAATGAAATGAAAACCCCAAATCCTGAAAATGAACCAGGTAGCTTCACATTCAGTAAAATATTTGATTCGAAAAATATGTACAAATAGGAATATTTACTCTTTTTTTCTGGTCAGAAAACAAGAACATTTTCAGCTTGGGGTCTCTCCAGAAGTATTTTAAAACGTGAAGGAGGGGTTTTAGTCAGCAAATTCTCCTTCCAGTTCCCTACCAAAAAAACCCTACAACACAAAAACTGGTTTTCTCACGGTGGCAGTGGAAAATACAAGCTTCACTGGACTCAGAGCCTAATTCCCTGTATTGTCTTTGTATCCACCAAAGCATTTTGAAATGTTGATAACAGACTTAAATTCATTTAGATCCCTAAAAATCCGCCTTATCACCACCTTCTCATTTTCATTCTACCACCTCACAAGTGTTACTCTCCTCCTAATTTTTCTGAGTTTTGTTTCTTTTGTGAGGTAACAGCTGTGTCACACTCCAGACAGGGTATTGCATGTGTCTGTGCTGCTCTTTCAGCCCTGGCATGCTAAATGCACAGTATTTCCAATAATTCCTGGCATATGATTTTGCTTTGTTGATATTAATAGCAACATATGTAGGACTCTAATATGAAATTTCCAGAGCAGATGCATTATTTTGACTATTATTTGGTTTATCTGTCTTCTGACTGCTGTTGGCTTGGCAACCTTTTGGAGGAGAGGGGAAAAGTTCAAACATTTATATTTGCTGTTTTTCCTGTAGCGAACAAGTGCCATTGCAATAATCTGGGACATCAGAGTGGAGGCATCCAGTGCCCAGGGAAGACGGATTGGCAGTTTTTCAGGAGCCCAAATCTAATTTGCAGAAATGTAAAGGGACTTGGGCAACTCTGACCTGAATGCACGGTATTTCACACTGAGATCGCTACACCCAGCCTGCAAAGCTTCATCTGGAGCAATGGAGTGAAGGGTTCAAGAGAAGCACTCACAGGGTGGGATCTTCAGTTTTTTAGGGACTCTCTACCTACTCCATACTAGTCGCTTGTCTATTAGGTTGCTTTCTTTTTGGCTTTTATAGGGTTACTGAACACAATTTTAAACCGAGTTAACTACTGCTACAATATTATCATGGTTCTTTTTGAAGTTAAACCACTGCCAAGTCTAAACACTCATAAAATTGTGATATGACCTCAGGGAAAAACACAAAGCTTTTTGAAAGTGCTTTGCTTTGGTTTTATTTATCTTCCGGTCTCTGAGCACTTAATTTAGTGTGAAGATGCATTTTCAAATCTTTCTCTATCACGTGTGGGACAGAAAGAGAGTCGAGATTGTTATATGTTATATAATACTATTTTTTTAGGTTTTGAGGTTTTCAAGAAATGGCATCCGCTTATTGTATTAAGATTTGCAGCGAAATTGCATGAGTGGGTAATTCACTATTACACAGTGTTTTCTCTTCTTTGTAGTTACTTGGGCTTCCAGATGTTGATGATGATGCATTTGAAGAGTATAACGCAGATGTGGAAGAAGAGGAACCAGAAGCCGATCACCAACAAATGGGTGTCAGTCAGCAGTAATTTTCTGAGAAGCTAAAAAATTCGGAATCCTTTGGTACCAGGTGGGGTCATGTGGTCCCACGTTAACCTATTTGAATTAGCACATCACCCTGGGATACCTGGCGCCCAGGATAAAAGTTTCAAAAACGGTTAAAAAAAAAATCTGTGATGAGCTTTGCTAAGAAGTGACCTGAATTTTGCTCCTGCTTCAGTGGGGTTTCTATGGAGTTGTCTTGGTAGCATTCTGCCATTATCAGTTTAGAAGTAGTTTTGTTGCTGACTGTCTCTTTGATTTGTATTTGAGAATAACATTCACTGGCATGAATGTAGAGTACTTTGAATGTAGGAACTGTTTGGTTAGAGTGCTAAGTACTCACATGTGACCTTACTGAGGAAATTAATGCAGAGAGTAAATGCAATGTGCACTTTTCTTTTCAGTTCAATGACTAGGGTTTTTGACTCTATACTACCAGACAAAGTACTGAACCTTGAGAGGCTTCTCCTGAAAAACACTAGTTTAATAGTGGTCGGTACTGCAGAAGTGCACATGGAGGCTTAACAAAAGTAATGGGCAGCGGGAAATCCATGCGAGTATTGGTGTGAGATGAATTAATGTCATTTTACTAGCACCAGATTTTACAAGTGCTAGATTAATCACTGGACATAATTAAAGCTGTGGTATCAACAGTGCACGTTATAAGGAACCTTGGTACTTTGACACCGTTTGATCCAAAGCCAAATGCTGTTTTTGGACAAATAGAATCAATTAAAAGCAGCCATTGCATATCTCACTTCTGCATGAAAACCAACTTTAAACTTCACTGTTTTTAATATGCTGATAAATTATTATTCAAATCTGGCAGTATCCTGAGTTGAAGTGCAACTTAACTTTGAAGCCATAAGGGTATAAACCAGCACCTGGCTCTTTAAATTACGCTGGACTTCTTCCTCACTCCAGGCCTCGGGTGTGTAGTCCTTGAGCTAGTTTGGCGGCCATTTACACCCCTTCGGAGGGGAGGTAAAACACTACCCAGCCAGAAGGGCAAGATTTGTCTCTTCACACTAAGGCTACCGTGGCGCTTTGGAGAGGTTAAAAGGCCTCACAGGGATTGCAGAGGTAACTCATGGCCACTTTACACCACTTTACAGCCCCTTTGTACTGCCAGGCTTCAGCCGATATAAAAGCTAATGAAGGAGAGGGTTTACTTCAGCTAGGGCTTGCTCTGCAGAGTGGTTTGAGGGGGTCTTGGTATAAAAGGGAATAAGGCCCCTTGTATTTTTTACCTATTTTGCATAGATTTAAATGACTCCAATGAGTACCACCCAGTGAAGATGCAGGGTCTCTTTATTTACTTGTCTTTTGTACTGAAGATATAAGAAACCAAGGCACTCTGTTGTAATACAGGTATTTTCCACAATCAAACAAAATGTTTCTCAATTTCTTCCATTTTTCCAAATTTTTTAAAATTCTGACCTGAAAGTCACACACTTCAAAAGCCCTTTTATACAGATTTAGCCTTATAAAAACAGAACAGGAATGAAGAGAAAATGCTCGGACAACTCCCAGAAACAACTTGCAGCATTTTGAAAACCTGGTTGTTAGCAATGTCTCCTTCTCAATAGATTTTTTTAAAGCCATTTTTTCAAGGTTATTTAAGGGAGTAAGTTTTCTTGGTGGTTTACATTTCTGATGATGGCTGGAGAGATGCATAGCACTTGATTTTTTTCGATCTGAGGCAAAGACCTTCCATAACCAGGATGGTGTTTGATATCTGAGTATGCACAGAAGTGTCTGCAACGCTGTAAAAGTCTGAGCTTAAGAACATTGGAAAAGTAGAAAAGGAACAGAACTTAACAAAACTTTGTACATTCTTTCGGCATGCAGGCGTAAACATGATAGTCGCAACACATTTTCTATGGACTAGTGACGTGAGAACTGTGGCAGTTCATTGTATAACACTGTACAGCAGCAATAGGCTTTTTGCTTACTGAAATAAAAAGTGCAAGACCGGTGGTTTCCATCCCTGTTTTAAGTCCCTAAGTTTTTGGGGTTTTTTTCCTCTCCAGCTAAAAAGGATGCCATAACCTTAAACAGAGACTTATTTCAGAACCTTCCTCTTCATAGCATCCAATCCTGTGATTGCAGCTCATATAAATAGATCCTTGCGGGGCTGATTTTCCTCTGCTGTAATGTAGTCGAAGACGTAATTTACAGTAGTGCAAGCTGGGGGCAAAATCCCACCACTCAGGTTTGCTAGCTGCTTTCACCCGTTTTGCGTAGGTGTGAGTGACCAAGCGCACGCACACACACGCGTGCATGCACACACATACACACACACACGTGTGTGCACACACACACACACGTGTGTGCACACACACACATACACACACCCCCCACGAAGGCCAAGCGCTGCTCTGCCCATCCCCGGGCACGGCTGCCCTGTGGCAGCAGTGTCCCCCTGCCTCCTTGTCCTGGCAGGCAAGTTTTTCGGCCGGATCAGGCCTCTGATCCAATTCAGTGCACGGCCACACAGACGAGGGTGCCAGGTGCGGGCACAGCAGCGGCGATGGTACGGGCTGGAGGTGCGTAGCCAGAGGGAACCACAGGCTGAAGCTCCTTGCAGCTCCGTGGCGGTGGTAGGGAGCCCTGCGGGAGGTGTGGATGTGGATGACATGGCCTAAGCGCTGTTAAGAGTTGACTCCACAAGACTCAAGGCGATGGAGAATCAGGCTCTGG